GAAAAACTCCAAGCATGGCGTGCGCCATTTGGGTAGGGGGGGGGGGGGGGGGGTTCCTACTTTGCAGAAAGCTGCTGATCCCAACTAGGACCTCTTTTGGTTGAGTATCCTGATCCATCACCTCACTCCTACCTCTCCGTGGACTTGAGTTCTGTAGCGACAGGGTCACTTTAATTACACCATAAGTTTATTATTCTAGTAATATGATTACGTTCAAGAGGAGAAGGTCCTACAGCCATGCCCATAGGAGTAAATATATAGGCAAAAAGAACAGTTCCAAACGCGAAGGCTTAAGGGCTGAAAATCATGGAAGGCTTTTTAGGCAAGTAGAGGACCTTCACAGATCATGGAGGGCTTTTTAGGCAAGTAGAGGCCCTTCACAGATCATGGAAGGCTTTGTAGGCAAGTAGAGGACCTTCACAGATCATGGAGGGCTTTTTAGGCAAGTAGAGGACCTTCACAGATCATGGAGGGCTTTTTAGGCAAGTAGAGGCCCTTCACAGATCATGGAAGGCTTTGTAGGCAAGTAGAGGCCCTTCACAGATCATGGAAGGCTTTGTAGGCAAGTAGAGGACCTTCACAGATCATGGAGGGCTTTGTAGGCAAGTAGAGGACCTTCACAGATCATGGAGGGCTTTTTAGGCAAGTAGAGGACCTTCACAGATCATGGAGGGCTTTTTAGGCAAGTATAGGACCTTCACAGACACCTTGTGCCTGCGAAGGTCCTATACGTGCCTAAAAAGCCCTCCATGGTTTTCAGCCCTTAAGCCTTCAGCTTTGAGACTGATCTTTTTGCGTAAATGTATTCAATGTTTTCTTTTGCATTTGGCTCAACTACACGCAGACTTCTCAGTTTGGTGGACCACTATGCTTGGAGGGGGTTCCTCTTTGCAGAAAGCTGCCGAACCCAAGCTATTTGGCTCACTCAAGGACCATTAATTCCACCGTATGTTTAGAATTCAATAATTCTTACTGTATTTGGCTCAACTACACATAGACCTCTCAATTTGGGAGACCCCTATCTTTGGGAAGGAGGGTTCCTACTTTGCAGAAAGCTGCCAAACTAAAGCTATTCGGCTCAATCAAGGACCGCTTTTGGTTAAGGACCCTTATCCATTGCCTTGCTCCCACCCCTCCTTGAATTTGAGGTCCCCTAGCAACAGGGTCACTGTCACCCCACTGTAAATGTATTATTCAGTGTTTCTCATTGTATTTGGTGCCTGAGGTCTTGCTCCCATGGCAAAATACCTATAATCATAAGTGATTATAAACTTTGGTCGGAAAATTATGTCTTGAGTGCTGACTTATGTTCTCCATATGCTAAAACGTACACAAAGAATGCCCTCTGGTTGGGAAGTCTATACATCTCGATCACATAATGCAATGTGAAACATTCACTGCGCACATTGAAATGAGCGTCATCGCAGTACATCATCTCCAAAATACCACTTACTTGTCTGCAGCTTGACAGGGTAAATTTCGGTGCAGTGACACTAAGCAGAGGTCCAAAGTGAGAACGTCATCTAAATTTGAATGTGTTGTCTGCGGGACTTTGTTAGCAAGTGCTTCGTGTTTACATTATTAGTAGGACGAGGCCAAAGAATTTCTCACCAAGAGAAGCTGCAGATGGCGGAGAAGCTTTCTTTGCTATAAATGGAAAAGGCAGATGCATTGGTAAACACGCACTCAATTACCTAGATATAAACAACTGCCTGCTGCTACACTCCAGAGAGCAAGTATGGATAGGAAAGGAACAGAATTGAGGTGATAGCAATGTGCAAGAAGGGACGCAACTGCTCTTACCCATTGTTAGGGCCACCGTTACCAGTTGTTAAAGCACACGTGATGGATGGCATAGGGAATGGTTCAAGCTGAACTCTTGCAGAGTTATACAGGTTCCTTTCCATGAAAAGGTGAAGGTTTGATATACAAATGTTGCCTTCCCTGATTCAAGAGCATCCCAGAGGGAGCCTGGGAAAGTCCTGCTTGGAGTTTATAGATCTCCCAGGTTCCTCTCCTATAGATTTAAGAATTGCTGATCCGGGCTCCAGTGCAGCGTTTACTCCTCTCTCCACTGGAAATTTAAGCTCTTCCGTTGCCACGAACTTGGGCATGTTGCAGCAGGCTGTCCATTGACAGGTTGAGCATAAATTTCCAGTGGAGAGAGGAGTAAACCCTGCACTGGAGCCCGGTTCAGCAATTCTTAAATGTATAGGAGAGGAACCTGGGAGACCTATAAACTCCGGGATGCTCTGCTACAATGCTAATTCATTATTGAACAAAACATTTCAATTTTAATTACATACCTTATGTAAGAACCAGAGAGTTCATCGCTGGGGCTTGGTGCTTCTCTATGCAATGCAGGCAGATCATAGCTGGTGGTGGTGGCCTCAGTACTCCTCTCAAGAGCCCTCAGCCCCGATGCAAGCAGTGAGCTGGACCCTGGGAGGAGTTATGCAAATAAATAACAAAATGCCTTGGTGGTTGGATATCAGTCTGGAGGAGTGGGCGTTCCTAGGCTGTCTTGCATGCAGACTACCCTAGGTAACATCCACCCGTGATACTGAGCCTCCATGATTGACAGAACTGAAATCCAATGAATGAAAGGGGCAGGCCAGGGAAGTCAGGCTGAGGAGGAAAGGGCTAGACCAGAGGTAGGCAAACTCAACACTCTCGCTGTTGTGAAACTACAAGCCCATTGAGGAACTTCAGAGCTCTGATAGCCACAGGCATATGAAAGGCATGATGGGATTCGTAGGTTCTGAAAAACTGGAGTGCTGAGGTTGCCTACTACTGGGCTAGAAGATGCTGGATGTCCAGAGATGTCCAGGGCCGTACCTTTAATGAGGCAGACTTAGGCTGTTGCCTTTGGGTCACGTGGTGGGGCGGCAGGTAGAGCGGCATGTGCTTGCCGCCCCCTTTCCAGCCAGAGCGCCCTAGGTTGCGCCATACACATCTCCCTGCCTAGCTCTTAGTGACCTGTGACGCTCTAGCCGGCGTCCCACTCAGCTCCTGACAACCCATGACATCACTGGTTGCCACGAGTTGGACGGAACGCCTGCCAGAGTGTCCCAGGTTGCTAAGAGCCCTATGGGAAAATGTGTAAGAGCCATATGCATCTCCCTGCCCAACTCTGAGCAACCTGGGACACTCTGGCCGGCATCCCGCCCAGCTCCTGGCAACCAGTGACCTCACCAGTTGCCAGGAGCTTGGTAGGATGCCGGCCAGTGTGTCCCAAAGCTGGGAGGGGAGATGCAGAACCAGCAGAGGGTGGCGTCATTCTCATGACTGGTGGTGCTATCTCTTCTACTCACCTCCCGCTGTTCTGATTGCATGCACCACCACCCCAATATCCCCCCTCAGGCAGCAAAAAGGCTAAGGATAACTTTGTAGATGTCCTCCAGCCAGGAAATGAGGCGGGCTCTGCCTGGCTTGCTGCAGCTTCTAATGCACATTGCGAAGAGCTCACAGTGTGCAGTGCAATCAGAGGAACACATTTCCATCCAGGAGAGGAACCGGTACAACTGTGCAAGACTGAAGGGAAGGCCGGAGTTCAGCGTTTGATTATTGACATGATGTTTCATGTGGAGGGTATGAATCTTGAACCTGCTCTAGCACCAAATAGAGTAATTATGTCAGCCCGAGGGGGGGGGGG